GGGGGGGCTGACTAGAAGACTTCCAAGGTACCTCCCACCTATGTTCTGCTTCAAAAAATGTGTTAAAGTGAATCATTGCGTTTGTTAAATTAGTAACACCATTGTTAAGTGAATCTGGCTTTTCTGTTGACTTTGCTTGTCAGAAGGTCACAAAAGATGATCACATGACCCCCCCTCTCCAACCGTTATAATTATGAACCAGTTGTCAAGCTTCTGAATGTAAATCACATGACTATGGGGATGCTGCAAAGGTCATAATTGTGGAAAAAATGGTCATAGGTCACTTTAGTGCTATTGTAACATTAAATGGTCACTAAGTGAACTGTTGTAAGTCAAGGACTACCTGTAGTTTATCAAACAGACTGCTCAATGATCTTAATGTTTTTCATGGACTTGATTGTCTCTTGAGGTTGAAGATTCTGTAAATGATTTATTTTCATTATGTTCCTTCCAATTGGTGTTGATTTTTATGGACTATATAAATGGTTTTTAACCATGGTGGTCTGTCCTTCAGATCTTCCAACATCTTGCTGCTGGTCATCCTCTTCTTTTTTCTTTCTCCTTTTGCAACATCAGAGCCTTCTCCAGAGGGTTCTGTCTTTGCATAATGTGTCAAAGATTTTCTGTAATTTGGTATCATTTATGTCATATTACAGCTGCCTATCCCTCCTTTTCTTCAAAGACATCTGAAACAATATTAGCGCTTCATCTGGTCCTGGCCTTTCTTGACTGAGATCCTTAAATTATGACACAGAGATAGGGATTGAAATGAGAAGCCATATCTGAGCACAGTGATAATATACGGCCTCCAAAACAGCATGTATTCAGACAGACGGACGGACGGACGACTGACTGACTGACTGACTGAACGAATGAATGAATTGAAATTAGTGGTATGAAAGCTGTGTCCATTTTCTTCTTCATTGTAAACAATATTATTAATGGCTTCACATTTTTGATTTTCAGCTTGAAAACTGGATTGTTAAAATGGAAACCAGACTATGACAGTGCAGCTACAGAATATTCCAAGGCAGGTATGTCTTGTAAAATAAGGGGGTTGTTTTGAAATCTTAATCTTTTAAAAATTGCTAAGGTTATTTTCCAAAAGCAATAATGTTCTTTCATTATTATATTTTGCAGCTGTTGCTTTTAAAAATGCCAAACAATTTGAACAAGCAAAAGAAGCTTATTTTAAAGAAGCTCTATCCCATGAAAATAATAAAGCGTATCTTTTCATTATTTGTTGTTTCTACCTTAAGTAATTGGAGATCATGTTGGGTTTGTATTAATTTATGCCTACTCCAAACATATAATTGTATTTTGTCATATTTAAGGGTGTTTTAACAGAAAATTAATAGAAGACTATTCCCTGCAATACGAAAACGTTATTGTACCTATGTATATCCAGATCCAATTTTGTGATTAATTATGTAATTAAATAAACTGTTAGTTATAGTACCTCCCAGTGACCCATTAATGTATATTCATTGAGATTTTTTATTTCTATGGAAAAATAGTAACAAACTGGCATTGGAATAGCAAATACATTTCTTTTATATCAAATCTGTGAGGAAGATTTCAGAGAATGCCTTCATTGGCCTCATTGCTTAGCCATTCATGCAAGATATGCTTAAAATATGACTATTCCTAGGAGGATTGCAGAGAGTTTTAAGAAGATCCTGCATATTTTAAAATCTTGCTTAGTAGCAATAAGAAATGTCCCCTTTCCCCTGCAGTCTCTCTGCTTTCAAATATGTTCTGGAATATTGAGAAGTCTTCAAGAGTAAATCGGAGGAACTTGGGATATTTTGGAGCAAAGGGGAAGAAGAGGAAAATAAGTTGCAGTGTGGAGTCCTTTTGTACAATTTTGGATATGACCAAACTTTGAAATCTCTGAGGTTAGGAAATCAGACTCTTAGTATTGAAAGCTAAAGTACTTAAGAAAAATAATATGTTGATTCTGAAGCAGGCACGACGACTTACTGATACATTCTATCTATTCTTTAGCAGATTTATTTTCGTCAGGCTTTTGTTTTAAAGAGAATGTTTAATTGATGCATGATTATAATTTTTTAAAATTCCTAAACCTAAATTGGAATTATCCAGAAATATTTTATATGTATAGTACATGTACTATATTTATCCTTGACTTGAAATAACATAAATCCAGCTTCTTCCATGCTGCAAAGTACGTATCAATATTTGTCAAATTTGATAATATGTGTGAAATACAATTGATATCAACAAGAATTGATTGTCTGTTACATACATATATACATACAAATAACTACATCAAAGTAAAATCAGATATTGTTAGAAAGTTGAGTATTTTGGAAGTGAGAAAAGTATAACTATAATATGTTCAAACACTTTCTGTAGCTCTCCCTAACTCTTCTTTTTTTGTACAAGAAAATGGTCTTTTCAAGTGTGCTGATTTTCTATTGACATTAGGAGTGGCATTTAGAAAAGGAGTCTTCTTTTGATATATATTCCATTTCTCCTTGGTTGAGAAACCAATTGTAGCCAGACTCAGCTGAACACATAGGCAGAAGGCTGGAGGTCTCAGATCTCCTTTTCCAAAAGTTAATTGTTTCTATTTTAAAAAACGTTTATATAGCTGTCCATCTTCTATCAAATTCTAGATGGGTCTAAATTGGCAGTTAAACCATACTAATAATAAAACAATACAGTACATAAATATATTGAAACCATCCTATATTACCATGAGATGTTTACTTAATTTGCTCAGTTATACTTTTCTTTTTTCAGGGCTTATGAACAAGCAGGAATGATGTTAAAGGTATGACAGTTTATTTTTATTTTTATGAAGACTTTTAGTTAAAACTAAATATTAGAATGATCTATGCAATATTCATGTTGCAGTTTATAAACCTGTTTGGGATCCATGATTCATGGTTCTATGTAGATTTATAACTCCTTTATATTGAATTCCATTTAAATGTGCACTTTTTTATAGAATTGTTAACTCATATTTTTCTAGGATGTAACCTGCCCTGTGTTTTCTGATCAGATATTTGGAATCCTCCCCCCCCCCCATCCATTCATCCATCCATTTAGTTTTCTAAATGAATTCATAATTTTAGCTTTGACATACACTGTAGATAATGCATACTTGGAAAAGTTATTCTTGTAAAATTATGGGAATTTTCCTAGGACAATTCATTGTTAGAGCAAAAGAACAGTTTTCTGCTTTTCTTGCTCACTTACATATGCATCATTTGATATCTATGGCATTTGGAAAGCCTTCACAGATCAATCAGTGGGGCTGCCCTTGAAGAGCATCCGGCGACTTCAGCTAGTCCAGAACGCGGCCGCGCGAG